CTGTTAAGGATACCAATTGTTCTTATATCCAGCATGCCACGAGGGCCTGCCGGGGTTTCAACAGCCATCAAAAGACGGTTGTCTACCTCCGACGGTGGTATGTCTCCATACATCACCGACATATTATTCGGCGCAGTGCCGAGGCGCTCGATTCTTTCGATTCGATCGCGCCAGGTACCTAGGATGATATCTCCGAGTTCTTTCGCTTTGAAGTAGTTCCACGCGGTATTATATGTGGACTTAAGTACTAAAACGCCGCTGTCATCTCCCCGCTGGGCAGCTACGCCCAATCGATCTGACCATCGTTTAGCAATATTATCTTTCGTCCATTTATACACGTAATCCGCAGGATAGCCGCGTGCGATGTATAAAGCATTTAAGCTTTTAATAGCATCTTTGTAGTGCTCATGTTTACTACTTAACACAGCTAGCCTGGACATCTCACCAATAAAAGTGCCGCGTTTAACGTCAAGCGGATGATGAGATATCCATGGAATTCTTTCCTGGTGGGAGCGAGCTTTCCGATAAGGCATGTGTTGTATCGTGTTATTAGCATCGATATAAACAGTCATGTCCAGGAACGCGAGATGTGAGGGACTCGCTTCCCACTCTATTCTACAGCCGTCGAATGCCACCGTTTCTAATTGCGCTAATGCTTCTCTTTTGTCATTAGCGTAAACGATGGCTAGACAGTCATCAATGTATCTTCCATAGAAAGGCACATTGGCGGTAAATTCTAATTGTCTCTCGAAAAACCAGCCATAAAGGTTGGCAAGATCGGGAGAATCGGCAACGCCCATTGCAAGGCCGTTCCGTTGTTCAAAAAATAAATCATTGTACTGTAGAACCAAATTCTTATTGCCGACCGATAGACATTTGAGGAAAATCTGTTCTCGTCTAAGAGAATCCTCGTCGCCTTGTGTACCGTAATATTCTCCGTATAGATGGGTAATTACATCTAGACACCTTTGGATGGGTATATTCGGATAAAAAGCGACAACGTCACCCGTAACGATAAATATTTTACGGGTT